TGATAGACCAGGTAGCTTCCACACAGCGTTACGCAACCAATGAAAATATAATGCCGCTCGACTGATTCGGAGTGAGACCTCTGCTGTTAAAGCGGAGCCGGTCATGGGAAGCTCTCCACTCTCTCCACAACTGCCCTATCACCAATTTGGAGTTGTGGGTGTGGAGTGTCCGATGGTACAAAATACCCAAGCAGGTGCTTAGTTTTGGTGGGGCTGATGGTAACGCTCCACCTCTTGGTGGCAAGCTCCAGGTTCAGCAGCAGAGCCTCCAACTCCTCCTCTGAGTGAGCAGCAATTACCCGGGCATCGATCAGCCTCCCATTGTATCCGTACCAAATGGAGATTCCTCCGGTACAGCTATTGAAGGCTTCACGAACTACGTGGTCAAAATAGATGTTGAATAATGTGGGAGCCAGAGGACATCCCTGTCGCACCCCAAGGTGTACGGGGAATAGCTCTGACTCCCGGCCACGTAGTTTTACCCAGGCCCGCTCACCATCATGAAGGTCCTTAATGATCGTGAGCAGAGGGACAGGGTCTCCGAAAGCATGAAGAACAACCCAGAGCCCAGGCCTACAAACACACACACACAAAGGGACACAGACACAGAGAAAAAACATCATGCAGACTCCAGTCATCCTCACAGTGGCTTTTGGCTGGCCATAGAACAAAGGCGGCCACCACATCACGTGTTTTCTGATGCAGTTTTACGGCCGTCTGGAATGCTGTCCCGATATTAGGAAGCCACTGGAGCTATGTAATTTTAAATATAGTTTGAAAACCAATTTCTTTTTAACTTCTTTTTGTGTTTAGTAGGCTGTCTTTCCCCCGCACCTCCGATTAGCACGGTTGGCAATGTACGGTACGAAAGAAGTTCCACAGATATATAGAGACAGACTCAGAGATAGAGAGAAAGCAGTACAGAGAGAGACACGAAACATTAATACAGAGACATAGGGAGAGAGAGACAGACACAGACTGAGATACACAGACTGAGATAGAAACAGATTGAGAGACAGAGACATAAAGAGAGATGCAGAGAGAGAGACAGTGACATACAAGTGTTGTGTCTGTAACTAACCACACGGAGACGTCTGCTGGAGGCAACGCGTTTATTGTAACAACTCTTAACACTCTGTTAAGACTACTCTGTTAAACACTACTCTGTTAAACACTACTGTAACACCCGATAGCCTAAGGGAGAGACAGCCTCCCTTCTAGCGTGTCCTACACACGCCGGGCTACGCTACACGCCGGTCCCTTGCGACGGCGGCTAGGGGAAGACTGGACCGACCGACCCACCCCGGGGTACGGGACTCGCCCTGGTCCGCTGCAACCCCGGCTCTAGTGAGAGCCTCGGGGAGGGTCCCCGGGTGCTGGTCCAGTCTTCAGGTCTTCAGATGTCTTCAAGCTTGAGTTGGCGAACATTCCCTGGCCCGTCCCGAGGGCCGGCCTTTTATCCCCAGGTCGAGGTCACCCCTCCCCTCATGATCCCCCCTCCAGAACCTTCTAGAAGGTCTTAGTAGGTCTTAATTCTTAAGGGGGTTTAGGAAGTGGTGGGGGTCCCCATCTCCCTCAGCCCCCAGCCCCTGGGGGGTCTGGGGTGTCAACCTCCGGTCACGGAGGGGCGGGGGTTTGACCTTCGGTCAACCCCTACACACCTCGCTCTCTCTCGGCTGCCCCCTGTCGGTCCATGAGCGTGGTGGCAGGTCAGCTGCCTACAGCGCAACACAAATACAGACGGATACCACCCTGTTGCTGGTGACCTCTATCCCTGCTGGTGACCCCTAGGGGTGCATGAGGTTGTTTTGTTTCCCAAGGCCTCCAAAAACATGAAGACTGTACCGGTCTAGAATGTTGCCTGTGTGGTATGCAGTCACATCCGATAACAGGATTCCAAGCTTTCTCGCTATCATTCGTAGTGGGTAACAGACTGTCAGCGCAGCAGGTTCGCGGAGTAGTTGCACGTCACAGCAAAAAGGGTTTTGGTTCAATTCCCGACTAGCGTGCCTTTCTGAGTGGAGTTTGTATTGTCTCTCGCTGTTCTGCATGGTTTCCGGCCATCGTACAAAAAAACACCCCATACAATTTAACTGGTATTGGCCAATCATCCAATTGCTGAAAAACGCAGCTGCAAGTTATTCCATTGGGATTACACACACAGCAACATCGCCCCTACTGCGATGAAAACTGAGCAATAGGGCCCTCCTGATAAAGAGTCTGGAGACTTCATGAGGCTTTGCTGGGTAGACAAACAAGTGTAATAATACTAACTAGCTGGAACCCGCGTGACTTCCGCGTGGATTTCATGATGGGGAGCAGAGCGCTACTCAGGAGTAAACTCCTCAAATGTAACACACACACACTTTCACATGCAAACACAAAGACAAAAATCCCCCTTATAACGTTTACATACTCGTGGGGCAAGTGCTGTTAGAGAGCAACATCTGTGATGGCCGGCACGGCACACGAGGTGGATGTGCAGCAATAGGTCCGGTTGCCTGCCTACCCAGTGGGGATGTTGTCACACCGCACTTGGTGCTCATTGAAGCTGAGGTAGACCTAGGGGAGGCCGACCTCAGCAGGAACCTGCAGAACTCCCGTGAGGATCTTGTGAAGAGGAGCGGGGCGCGACTTCAAAACTCCAGGCGCATCACGATGTCCCCCAATGTCCTCCATCATCACTGCCCATCACCATTCCCTACCCAATCCCATCACCCTGTACCCCCTCTACATCTCAGTTGCGTACCTGTCAACTCATACGATTTACCTGTATTCTTGTATGGGGAAATTGAGTTTTCAGGTACATAAGGCGTAAAGCCGTTTTAATACGGGCAATTTTTTTCCTATTTGTTATATATTATATATTAAAAAATAATTTTAAATATTTGTTGTCACTTTGTTTGTGTTTATCCCTTGTGATGGGACTTTGTAGGATGAACGTTGAGATTTATAAGGACACGGAGTGACCAATAAGGTCTGAATTTGTCTGTAATAAGGTAGGGCACTGATAAGGAGTTGACAGGTATGCAGTTGCTTTCCCCATCAAACCTAAGCCACTCTCCCAATCTGCATGACCCCCATCCTTCCCGCAATCACCCTCTCCACCCCCCACTAACATCACCAATCTCCATCACTCCATATGCATCACCCTATCAACTCGAATCCCATAATCACCATGAAGTTGGCCCATCACTGTAATCACTACCAGCATAAATTTTGACTTAAAACATTTTAGTGACTGCAGGAATATATTGTGATTCTTTCGGTAAGGTCACGTAGAAAGAACATAAATGAAATCATAATAGAATACAACGTTTCCATTGCAACACAATTAATTTTCTTTCGAAATGACTTTACCGAAAGAACCAGAGAGTAATTCCTGCAGTCACGAAAGGTTCGAATCTAGTTTCATATATTTTGACTTAAAACTTTCGTGACTGCAGGAATTAATATTCTATGGTTCTTTCGGTAAAGCCATGGAGATATAAAAAATTATAGCAATAAAATAAAAAAAAAATATGACGTTTCGATCGCAACACAAGCAATCGTCATCAGAAGAAAAAAGTGGGGAAAAGCTGCTGAGGCAGGCTGTTTATAAAGGTTTAGAGATGGGCGGGGCAGCTAATGTTAATGTAGGAGAGGTCTCCGACACCGGCAGTAGGTCTACACCAATCAGAGAGCTGTTTATAAAGGTTTAGAGATGGGCGGGGCAGCTAATGTTAATGTAGGACAGGGCTCCGACACCGGCAGTAGGTCTACACCAATCAGAGAGCTTTTTATAAAGGTTTAGAGATGGGCGGGGCAGCTAATGTTAATGTAGGAGAGGTCTCTAACACCGGCAGTAGGTCTACACCAATTAAAGAGCTGTTTATAAAGGTTTAGAGATGGTGCGGGGCAGCTAATGTTAATGTAGGAGAGCACTCTGACACCGTCAGTAGGTCTACACCAATCAAAGCATTGCATCTCGCTTCACACACCCACACTGCTGATGGTGGAGGTGGACAAGAAAACACAAATCAAGTCATGATCCAAAGTGGTTGGTTTGTTTTGGACTACCACAGGATAATTTTTACTTTTACATTTGTGCATCAGGTATCATGATTTGTGTGGATGCGGTTTAGGGTGGGCCACGAGCTTCGTAGCCTATCAAAACCAGGGATCTTATGCGTTGGGTCTTTCAGAAGGTGTTAGTTTGTGAGTTCTTTTGAACTCCATTCAGTCATTGAATAGGACAAACAGCGTTGACTACCCCACAAAGTCGTAGTTATATTTGTCCATCCCAGAGGGATGATTGCCCCATGTCACAACCTTGCATTTGCGAGCAGCTTCACTGCCGCTGAACAACTTTGGTGGTTCATGTGGTCAGATAATAATAATAAACTGACTGCAGCAATTGAGCCAATTAGATTGTGATTGCTCATTAAACTGAAAGTAAATCTATTATAATGCCATACTGAAATTGTTATACTGCTGTATGTAATCTTAAAACAGAATACAATACTATATTGTTAATTTTAGCAACATAATATGAAGATGCCTACCACAGTACTTTGTTATTTCCAATGTACATAACTACGACATATAACATGTTTCTCTGCACTTAAAGTTCAGCGTATTTAGTGTCCATTTCATTTCTAAATCTACACTTTTTTTTAAACTGAGAAACAGTGTTAGCAAGATATAATCTTAAGATTAGCACCAGGCATTGGGTTTGTCCACTGTTAAGAGATTATAAAATGTATCATTGGATCGACTAAGCCTTTATGAAGGTCTTCTTTGGTTCTTTCGGTAAAGTCACGTAGAATGAGAATAAAATAATACATTGATAAAATAAAATAACACAATAATATGTCCTACCAGACAGTCTCGTCCCTTCACCTGATGAAGGCCGCTTGTGTTGTGGCCGAAACGTCGTGAGAATATTATTGTGTTATTTTATTTGTCTGTAAAACCCAAAAAAGTATTTTTATCAATTTATTATTTTATTCTCATTCTACGTGACTTTACCGAAAGAACCAACGAAGATGAATCATTGCAGTCACGAAAGCTTTACATCGAAACTTTATGAAGGATTTTGACAAGGGCTCTCCACAGTGTTTTTTTTATTGTAGAATTTTTACAACAATAAAGACGATGGCTCTTCAGCCTCTTCGGTTCCTGAAAAAGCTAAGGACGCGGAGCCAAACGTCGGACGTCGTGCCGAACGGCGCACTGTGCTAACAGCGGAAACATCCTGAGGGGGCTGCAGGGCACAACCACCACACGATTCGCCTCTTGCCTTACTGCATGACATTAAAACGCAGCAGATGTCTGTAAAACCCAAAAAAGTCTTCTACTTGTCCAAAGCACAAATTGAACGTCAACCGAAGCACTTCCAGCATCACACTCCCCCATTTAGCAGAAACGTACAACGCATTCTCACGTTCATCAACACCCACATTGCGGAACCAGACGATAGCGAAGGATTTAAAGCACTTTGTGTAGAATCCCACTTTTGTGTCCGATGCACTTGGTTCTTCATTTGTCCATCACTGACACTGGCAGTGGTGCAACGCCCAGCTCTTTCGCCACATTGTTCTGCAAGAATAAATAAAACATTTGACACGATTATGGCGGTACCTACTACCACCAGCCGCTCCTGTGTGTGTCACCTTGGCCATGAGCACCAAGCTGTGGACCACAGAACTTCCCACTGCCACGAATATATACATTTTAAGGTGGTTCATCTGCAATGCAACGACTCTCAGACAGGGCTGAGTGGCAAAGCATGTGGCTCACAGTCAGTAGCTTCTGAGTTCAAATTCTGTTTGGGAGTTGACCCATTATTCATCTGGGGTTGATATAATTAGTAGCACTTTGTGTGGAAGTCAAAAAGTGTTCGCCTAATGGAGATACTTGCCCCTGTCATTATAATCGGGAATTTCCCCCCATTGTTTCAAAGGCTATCAACAGGAGATTAGCACTGATTCTTCGAAGCTCATATGAGCAGGAAATGGCTGGGATTTGTACTGCAGTATTTACTGCAGTATTTACTTTGTCACTTCCAGGGTCCTGTTTCATCAAACACGAACATTTTTCCACCTTTCCTAAATTGAAGCAAAACAAATGGAAAAGGAAATATCACCTGAGGGGTTTCCCCCACTCTAAAGGTAAATCTTCTTCTTTCGTACGGCTGATGTAGATGCAAAGCAACAACTACAATTTCATTTTCAGGTGGTTCAAGCCACATAACTGCATCAGGAGCAGCGGAGTGTATCACTGTGATGTCTCCTTCGTATTTGTGGATCGGGGATTGAGTCGTATTATGTTGTACGGTCTGTTCTGGATCATCGTAGTTGCATGCTGAAGAGTTTTTAATTTAACATTTGTGCATCAGGTATCCGCATCTACTGCCATGGTTTGTGCAGTGGATGCGTTTTGGGGTGGACCATGAGCTTCGTGGTAGATCAAACCCAGAGAACTGTGTTGGGTCTTTCAAAAGGTAAACAAGAAACCTCTACTGGACTTACATTGAGTCACGCTCGGCTAGATTCCCTCACCTTGCCAGTGCTCCCTCCACCATTGTATCACTACCAACGATACCCACCTGACGTGGTGGACACCGCGTCACACGGATAATCAGTAAGTATAAACAAGCCCACATCACCAGCGGGGTCGACTACAACATCACCTACCTGTGCCAACGCTCCTCGACTGTCGCATTGACTGCCTCCCAAAAACCAACCCCTCATCCACATCGTGGGAGGTGGTAACAGGTAAAGTTTAGGATTGTCAGACAGGGCGAAGTATGGTGGGTGGTTCGACCACCTGAGCCGCTTCAATAACCAAGGAGGCATGTAGGGACTCACCTGGAAACGTGCTGGCTAACGGAACTCTGGTTAGCCACTCAGGCTAAGGGAGTAAACCCTAATACAATCCTGGGTAGATACCAAGTGGCCAATGGCCCATCTCGGTGGGGCGGATGAGCTACAGTCCAGATGGCCAATGTCAAATGGTGGAGGAGCCACTGGATGTCTGGTGCTTCAGGACAAGCCTTCCAATCGTCTTGGTTTTCTGTCTCGCCATTGGACCCAGGCTTGGTTCCTGGTTAAGCACCGTGCGGTGGCTGGTGTGCAACAGACACTGCATGTAAATTAATTCACGCACTAGCACCCTCCAGGGAAAGTGTGCCATCGCACCACCACACTACACACCCAAAGCCCTTGGACGATTGGCAAGTGGCGAGTGGGGCAGGCCTATGCAGCTAGAAGCTCCTAGTCACAACCCAGCACCAAGGCGGCAGCTATTAGAAGGTCGTCATGCACTCGGATTAGGCAGGAGTACATCCCGGCATATGTAGCTGTGACTGAGCAGCCCACGAGGATCCACTCTGCTCACCCCAAATGGAGAGGGGGCTAGAAAAGGTGCCCTAAACATAGCCTGCCTACCAACATCCTGTCTGGCTTACCGCGACCAGAGGGAGCATCAATAATTGCGGTCGAAATAAAAATAAATTTTACCTAAACATTGGATCCTGGAATGTCAGGACCCTCACAGACAACCCAAACTCGCAACGTCCAGAGCGCCGAACAGCTCTTGTGGCACGCGAGCTGAGACGACTTAATATCCATATTGCCGCCCTCAGCAAAACCCGTCTGGCGGATGAAGGCCAACTGACCAAGCCAAGTGGAGGCTGCACCTCCTTTTGGAAGGGTAAACCAGCGGATGAACGACGCCTGCATGGTGTAGAGTTTGCAATAGACGACATGCTCATCGACAGCTTCAGTGAGCTCCCAATTGGTATCAATGAGCGTTGCATGACCCTACGCCTGAAACTCGCAAAAGACCAACCTGCAGCCATCATCAGCACCTATGCACCAACACTGGACTCTGAAGAAGACACTAAGGAGACCTACTACAGCCAACTCAAACAAATCCTTCAGAGTACACCAAAAACTGACAAGCTTATTCTCCTCGGCGACTTTAATGCTAGAGTTGGGAGAGACCATCAAATGTGGAACAGTATAATTAGTAAAGAGGGAGTTAGAAAGTCCAACTCCAATGGTCACCTTCTTCTTAAAACCTGTTCTGAGCACGACCTGACAATCACCAACACCCTATTCAGGCAGAAGAATAGCCTCAAGACTTCCTGGTATCACCCTCGATCACACCAATGGCATTTACTAGACTACATGATTGTCAGGAAGCTTGACAGCACAGACGTCCGCATCACTCGTGCCATGATCAATGCAGACGATTGCTGGACTGACCACAGACTAATTCGATGAGTGATGACTCTCAAACTAAACCACAAACACATAAACCGACCAAAACTACAGAGGAAAAGACTCAATGTAACCAGACTAAAAGACCCGGTGGTACAGGCCCGACTGAAAGAACAACTAGCTCAAAGACTCAGCACCAACCAGGCTTCAGGAAATGTTCATGAGTAATAGACACAACTGAAGATGGCAGTTATAACCAGCTGTGAAAACACCATTGGCTACACAAAAAGAAAAAACTGTGACTGGTTTGATGACAACGACCAGGAAATCACAGGCCTCATTGACAAGAAGCGGAAAGCATTCATCGGCCGGCAACACCACAAACAGTCTAGACAGAAAAAAGTAATCATATAAGGAGGCCAAATTGGAAGTACAAACTAAAATCCGGGAACTGAAGAACAATGGGTTCAGAAACAAAGCAGAAGAAATACAACATCTTTCAGATTCCAATAACCCACATTCATTTTTTAAAGCAACCAAAGTCTTATATGGACCATCAAAACAGGGCCTTGCACCACTTCAGTTGAAGACTGGGACAGAAATCTTCAAAGACAAAAATGCAATCATCTCCCGCTGGCAGGAAGACTTCAGCACTCTTTTCAACTGCAACGCTGTTGTAGACGCTTCTATTTTCAGTGAGATTCCGCAACACTCTACCACTGAGGATTTAGCTGGAGAACCAACGATGCTGCTGGATGCTTCTAGATGCTACCCACGCACCTCAGTCTTTGTTCAGCTTGCGTACGCATCTCACGTGTTATTGCGGGCTGTGCTTTACCCGTATATTATATATTATTTATAATAACCCGATTTTTCCCATAACGTGGTGTTCTTCAGGAACGCAACTACCACCGCGTTGTAGGAGAACAGACTGTAGGAATGACAGGGCGCTATGCGTGTGCTGCTGCTGCTGTCTGTCTGTGGCCTTATTACCATGTGGCTCACGACGTGCACAGAGTAGGGGATGCCGCCCTTGCTCTCGCACTCGGCGATGTGCTGGCGCTCCGGGTCGCCAGGCACCAGCACGCTGGTGGCCCCAGGCGCCTGCCAGCAAGCACAGCACATACACGGAATATCAACAGAGGGAAGAGGTTGGGTCCAGTAACGACGAGAAAAATATGCGACCGGACAGATGGGCAGTGGTGGTGCCGGCGGTGGCTATGCACGCCTGTAATCCAGCGCCGTGGAGGCGGCGAGGGGGTTGGTGGCCTGAGGCATGGCGCAACAGTGGCCCGCGCGACACGTGTGAAGGCAAGGCAAGGGATCGGGCCCACATTTCTACAAAACTGGTGATTATTTCGCCTGAGCGGGAAGACCGTTTGTCTCGTGAGAATTGTATCCATAATGGCATGGGCAGGGCAGGTTTCAGGCCACGTTAGAGGAGTAGAGGAGACCACTTTAGAGACAGGCATGTCAGCGTTCGTGTCTGTGTCAAAGAGCTGCACTTTAACAGAGCAACTAGGAAGAAAGGCTCTTGGCCCTTGAATATAAATGTTTGCACATCCCTGCCATTGCCATAACCTCATCCTCTCCATTTCCAGTGTGGAAGTCAGTATTTTCCAAATTCAAAACTTGTCTGCAAATTACCCAATTGGGATAATAAATAGCAACAATTGGCTCCAACTGGCAGAATAATGCCCCAAGTCACCATTGCAAATGCACCTAATCCTGGTGTCTTGAATTCTCACATGGTCCAACTAAATTAACTTAAAACTTAACTTGAACGAAAGGGCCGGGTAATTTTAGCTAAAAATGAAAAGCACTTGGCCTGGCACTGTTGTGTCTGGCCAAGTGCCACGGTGGCGAGTTGTTAACCACCTCACCTGGTATACAAGAGGCTGTGGGTTAGATTCCAACTCTGAGATCTCCCTCCCCGTGGTCGCGTGGATTTTTCTCTGGGTCCACTAGTTTTTCCCTCCACATTTGGAATCAACGAGTATTTGACTGCTATAAATGTCCACATGATAAGCAACTTAGTTGAGCTATCATGTGTGGCCAGGTCGCTTCTGAAAAAGAGCTACATAGCTCAGTGGGCCTTACCTGCTAAAATAATAAATAGTTTAGTTTGTTTGTTGTGCCACTTCTGAAATGGCAAATGACCTCGTACCGGCGGCAAGTGGCGGTGGATGCTCAAGAGGTCAGCCATGCGAGACTCGAAGCCTGGGGCAAAGCAGCTGAGATTGACGGCGACGAAACACTGTCCCTGCACAGGTGAGCACACACAGGTAAGCATACACAGGTGAGCACAAACAGGTGAGCACAACAACAACAACCGCCATTTGCCACTAAGTGGCGGTGACATCACCACGACGCTTGTGCCAGGCTATGTGCACCTTGAGGCCACGTGAAGTGTCGAACGCCTGCTAGCATGAGATCACGGGGCAGACCTAGATGCCACGGGTCTACTGACTGAGATGACTGGCTGATGCACCACCTGTGCCCCCTACTGTGCCAACTTGCTGTGCTTTAGCCACCCAGCGCTCCGCTCTTTGTTGTGAGCGTTTCTCCTCCGCCCTCCGTTGTTGTTGGAGGGCGACTGCCTCCAACTGCCCAGCAGAATCTTTCACGAGCCTCCTCCACAGAGGCCGATCTTGACACCGCTGGTACCAGTCATCGGCAAGTCCACTCAGCTCCACATCCTCCTGTACCACATCACTCCATCTCTCTAGCCCATGCCACGCCCGTTTAGCCCCCTCTATCCAGCCAAACAAAAGTTGTTTAGGCATGCGGTGGCTGGGCATGCGGGCTACATGACCCAGCCAAGGCAGCCTTGCCTGCCGGAGGAGCTTACCGATGGGACTTTGCCCAGATCTTTCAAGGATTTGAGAGCTCCTCACACCATTCAGCCTGGTTTAACCCAGGATGGATCGTAGGCAGGCCAGCCTAAATGTTTCCAATCGGCAAAGATGTTCCATTAGGGGGGTCCACGTTTCGCAAGCATAGAGAAGGGAGGGAATGGCCATGGCCGAGAAGACTTGAAGCTTCGTGCGAAGCGACAGACCAGGTAGCTTCCACACAGTGTTATGCAACCGATGAAAAGATAATGCCGCTTGACTGATCTTAGTGAGACCTCTGCTGTCAAACCGGAGCTGGTTCATGAGCACACTACCAAGGTATGGGAATCTCTCCACTCTCTCCACAACTGCCCCATCACTGATTGGGAGTTGTAGGGGTGGAGTGCCCGATTGTACAAAATACCCAGGCAGGTGCTTAGTTTTGGTGGGGCTGATGGTAAGGCCCCACCTCTTAGTGGCATGCTACAATTTCAGCAGCAGCAGCACCTCCAACTCCTCCTCTGAGTGAGCGGCAAGTACCAGATCATTGGCATACATAATGTGGTTGACCAATAGGGACCCATCCCTTGACCGCACCCGGGCATTGATCAGCCTCCCATTTTATCCGTACCAGATGGAAATTCCTCTGGTACAGCCATTAAAGGCTTCGCGAACTACGTAGTCAAGGTGAACAGGGAATGGCTCCGACTCCCGGCCATGTAGTTTTACCCGGGCCCGCTCACCATCATGAAGGTCCTTAATGATCGTGAGCAGAGGTTCAGGGACTCCGAAAGCACGAAGAACAACCCAGAGCCTAGTCCTACTGATGGTATCATAGGCCTTGACCAGGTCAATAAAGCAGAAATGTAGGTCTTGTTGGAATTCCCTACACCTCTGCTGTAGCAAACGGAGAGAAAATATGGCATCTGTGCAGGACCACCCTTTCCTGAAACCACATTGAGACTCCGAAAGCCTCAGGACCTTTCCCGGCACACTGAGGAGTGAGATGCCCCTGTAGTTGTTACAGTCTGCGCGGTCCCCCTTCTAAAAATAGGGGGACCACAAGGGCATCCTTCCAATTCTTCGGAACCCATCCAGTGGTCCATACTGTTGTTATGATGTCATGTAGGGCAGTCTGTGCACAAACGCCACCCTCCCTCAGTATTTCGCTTGGGAGATCAACTCTGCCCGGTGCCTTTCCTGCTCTCAGACTCTGGATCCCCTTTAGTACTTCCTCAACAGATGCAACCTCAGCCAGCCACTCACAGGGGGTGACTTCCTCCTCCAATATTTGAGGCACCGCAGCCTCAGCAGGGGCATCCCCACTTTGTCCCATGATGTTTTCCAGGCTGAGGGATTCCCCCTCCCCCAGGACCTCACAGAAATGCTCAGAAAATCTGCAAACCTGTTCCTGGGGGTCGGAGATTGGATCACCGTTTTTTCCCCTAATGATGGTAATGGGTGTGGCGCTGCCGGTTACTTTTTTGATGGAGTTAAATAGGGATTTGTGATCGCGGGCCATTGAGGCAGACTCATCTTCTCAGCACTCCGCGACCACCACCCATCCTTGCAGTGCCTCACGGCTCTCCGAACCTCCGAGCGAAGGCTCCGTAAGCCTCCTCATTCTCTGACGTGGGATGCTGTAGACGATTAGAGTGGGCCTGTCAGCCAGGGTCTCTGGAGAGGTCTGGACCCTTTACCCAAAGCAGCCATTGCAGCTGCCTGAGACAGCCCAAAACCTTGCCGATTTACCCTCGACATCTAGAGGAGTGGGAGACGATGCCAACCCCAGCCGCAAGCGATGATGAAATTATCGCTTGCAACTTTCATCAGTAAACAGTTTTGAGACACCTACGAGGTCGGCCACGCGGCTGGTCTCCCTCCAGGTGCGGATGTTGTTGCTGTAGGTAGCACCACCCATGATGCCGCAGAACACCTCCACCATCATGCCCAGGCCGTAGCCCTTGTAGCCTCCTGGCGTCACCAACAGGACGGGAGAGAGAGACTCTCAATGGATTACAGTAGAATCCCTCTTAACGATGATAATTGGTTCCAGGAAATCCGTTGTTAAGTGATTTGGTCGTTATGCGCGTATTGGAAATACACGTTAAAAGCTTAATTCGTTCCGAAAGCATCGAAAGTTATACCCTTTTTCACCCCAAAAGAGTACTTTATAACATTTAAACAATGTATATCAATACATAAATATACTAACAACATTATGAACACATAATATTAAAATAAACATGGTTAACCAATGCATTCACTACACTACCATACACTACCATACACTACACTACTATACACTACACTATACACTACACTACTAGACACTACACTACTATACACTACACATTGGGCTCTATGGAGGCCCGTCCGTAAGTGATTAGTCCATAACAGGGCTGATCGTTAATAGGGGTTCTACTGTAGTGGGGGGGAAAAAGCTCAACGCGTTCATTAATACCACCGTGTATGGCTTTAAAAAATGACATAATAGGCAACCTTTGAGGCAATGGCCCCTCTTCATGTGCTATGAAGGGTCATTGCTCGAAACCTCAACTCTTATATATAATAATTCAAATGTAAAATGTGCATTCCGTTCTAGAATCCCAATGTGCAATGCATGGAAAGCAGTGAAACAAAAACAGAACCAGGGCCACCGACCAAACTAGAGAGGGAAGACCATTTTAAAGAGATGAGTTCTCAAAGCAGATTTAAACATATCTACCGACTCTGATTTCCTGATTTCAAGTGGCAAGGCGTTACATAGAATGGGTGCCACACTAACAAAAGCCCGATCACCAAAAGAGCATAACCAAGACCTATGAGTGCTGAGCAATTGGAGATCAGAAGATCTTAAGGACCTTGATGGAATATATAAATGTATTAGTTCCTGAAAGTAATGTGGGGTGGGCCCTTTTAAAACCTTATAGGTTGATAGCAGTATCTTATATATGGGGGAGGTGACCAGTATGGTAAGGTTTGGTTGTCAACCCCCGTGACTCGTGGTGCAATGTGAGATGTGTACGCAGACTGAACAAAGACTGAGGCGAGGGGTAGCATCCAGAAGCATCCAGCAGTATCCCACTTCGTAAAAAGCTATGCCAAGGCAGCCATACCACTGCTTATTCCTGCTTGCGCGACATAGTTCAGTTCACTCAATCGCGTTATAGCGAATTCGCATCCGCGTGATAAAAGAAAAAACACGTTCCCTGGTACATTCATCGCGTTATATCCAATTCGCGTTGCAAAAACAACACGCGGCGTTATAGGAAAACAGACTGCACCTGTGGCTTCGGCTCCTCCCAGGGCCAGGAGGCCTCCTCCGTCCAGCACCTTCTGCGGGTCCTGCGTGACGGCGCCCTTCGCGTCGCAGCCCCAGCCCTCGGGAATCGTCTGCTGGTTGCGCGCGTGCAGCTCGACCTGCTCGCACGCGTGTGTGGGTCCCGCAACAGCCCGGGGGTGGAACCGGCAGAGATTTACGTCAACATCGCCACGTCCCCTCCCTCTGGTGACAATTTCATCTTGGTAACCTGTAGCGAGCCGCCGTGACGGGTTCATGGAGTTGGCCAGATATGTACAAAAAGGACCTCAGAGCTTGGGCAATTTGTTGGCACCTGCTCTGACCGCCTTCGCACTTGTCGGTGGTTTCACGTGCCTCTTTTGTAAAAACTCGCGCGTGCTACGAATGCCGTACTTCAGCGTTTTGAAATGCAAGTGGCTCAAATTACACAGCCGTGTAAAATGACGACAGAAGAGATTGGTGCCAGAAAGATGTGGCCACTACCGGAGAATATTGGCACACGGTAGGGGAAAGTTTGGAAACAAACAAATGACGAAATGTGCAGTGGGACACCAAACAGGCTATCTGCCTGTGGATCGTGACGATGATGATAAAATAATATTATTATTGCGAGTGCGTGGTGGTGCGGTTACCTTGCCCAGTGCAACGGCTGACGTGGCCATGTCCAGCACGAAGCTGTCGTCCTTCCCAGCTGGCGCCGCCACGCTGATGGGGTTTGTTCCCAGAGTGCACTGCAATGGGGTGGCACCCGAACAAGGGAGAATTGCAAGGCCAGAGACACACACACGCACACGAGAGCCCCTTCCGACGTTAACGCTACTTGGCCAATTGCGGAGACAATGATTAATATATATTAAAAAAACAGCATTTGTTTTCTCTGTAAGTTGTACTCCTCGCAATGTTTAACATGTCGATTTTTGTTGTTGAAATCTTCAAATTGTGATAATGATGGTATTGGCTACGTGACGTTTGAATAGAATTGTTGAAGACAAAAACGCGCTGCTAAACAGAATCGTAAATAATCTAGCACGATTTGACTTAAAGTGTTGACGTTCATTCAAACACATTATATGGTGTTATTCATTGTTGAAGCTGTTTTAATTGTTATCATTTTTGCATGCCTATGCATTTGCAACCAAACCAAATGCACAGTTGCCCTGTTTATTTTTCATTAAATATCACTTGAACATTTTCCATGCAAATGCTAAAATAAGACAGGTACACCCACCAATTTCTCAAAAATGTGGGAAACGCCAAACACTAAAGATCAGTGATGAATTAAGAGCACTGAAATTATGCACTAGATAGCTGCATATAGCATAAGAAATATAGACACCAGTGACACCTGTATATTTACACATTAGATGTATACTTCATGCAGATATGGCAGGAGAGTAGTGTTTATAACTGAGTTGTAACATTCTGGAACAAGTAGGGTAGGGGGTCATTTAGATCAAAGAAAAATGTAAAGCTCATGAAGATAGCGGGACAGATACAACATTTTCCACTTGCACATCCGAGCTGAGCCAGCAAGGGCCCCCCACATTGGTATAGGTGTTTTTTTACTGGCTATCTGCCATGCCGAGCCAGAACGAAATCGTGATACAAGAACCTCACCAGATGTCCGATTCTAGCTCCGGGGCTAACAGGGCCAGTGGCAGAGCCAATGAAGCAAAACATTATTATTTTATTTTACCAGGCAAGGCCCACTGAGCTGTATAGTTAATTTTCAGAAGAGACCTGGCTATCACAAATGATAGCTCAACGAAGTGGCTTATTACATGGAAATTTACAGCAGCCAAATGTGGAGGGAAAACCCGAGGACCCGAAAAAAAATCCACGCGACCACAGGGAAAACATCCAAACTCTAAATATACTGGTGTCAGGATTGGGATCGAACCAACAATCTCCTGCAGACCAGGCGAGGTAGTTAACATCTCGCCAACGTGTGACCTCAGTACACTGTAAGGGCATGTCACAGTGTCATCTACAGGCATCTCAACTTCTCTGTCGCAATGTTAGCGGCACAGCACGACTCGGCTTCTGCAGTGGAAAAAAAAAAAACTACTTTTCTCCTCCAGAGCCATGCCGGGCCGGTTCGTCACTGCCCCGGCATGGCCAAGGTGCACAGTGGGAAAGAGGTAAAAGATGGGGCAAGAAACCTGGCAACACAAGGGCACGGGGCAGAGCAGCCCACGGTGGGAGACAGCCCCAAGAAACGACAACAGATCACCGAAAGTAGCCAGGGGGCGGGCCCCGGGCAAGCTGGGGCAGGAGCGGCAACCGAGCGACATCACAGTCCCGAGAGACGGCAAGCGGAGGCAGAGAAGCGGCAGGAGGAGCGGGCAGGCGGCAGGAGGCCCTCTGCTGGCGTCGGCTCAGGAGCGGGCTGTGGCAGCGAGGCAGTGGTCACACACAGGTAAACAAGGTACGTGTTGCTCTCAGGGGCTGATTTCTATACGAATCACTAATCCAGCAATATACCGTGTTTCTCTAACGGTTATATCCATTGTGATATACTATGAGACGGCATTTGAAGGCAACTTCATTAAATTCTATACGCACTTTGTTTTAGTGGGAAGAATGTTTTCGTGCGAATCCCATTTCACTAAACCCACACGTGCCCACCGTGGCGTTGGCCGTACACGTTACACTGAAACTATAAACTATTTTTTTATTTTACCAGGTAAGGCCCACTGAGCTATGTAGCTCTTTTTCAGAAGCGACCTGGCCACAAATGATAGCTCAACGAAGTGGCTTATCATGTGGACATTTATAACAGCCAAATACTCTGAACGCACGTTTCTAAATGTGGAGGGAAAAAACGGAGGACCTGGAGAAAAATCGACGCGACCACAGGGAGAAAGACACGCAAACTACAAATATACAGCAGGCGTCACGGTTAAGATCGAACCCACGACCTTCTGTATAGCAGGCGAGATAGTTAACATCTCGCCACTGTGACACGAGAGAAAATCCCCCAGGATGCTCGCCAGCTTCTCTGCTGCGATTTATTCAAATGCTTCTGTCACGTGCTGCTGCTGAAGATTGCTCAATAATCTTGTATCAACTATTTTGCACTCCTATTGTGTGTTTGTACTGTTTGTTGTTGAAACGCTCTGCCTCGCCCCTACTGGACATCCGTGAAAAAAGCTTCATAGCTCATTAGATTCCTCCATTATAAATACATATTCTGATTCTGATAAACTTTCTCCTTCAATTAATTAAACTTTTTTTAAGGTGCCTTTCTGAAACCAAGGTTCCCATACATTAACTATAATTCTCCAGTAAAATGTAAAAACCATGGTAGAATAGCATATATGCCAGTCTGAAACCATACATTTGGCGAAGCTTTGTGAATATTCGTCTGTGAATGCCAAGCTGAACAAGTGACGTTAAAACTTGTTTTAAGCTCGTCAGCTTCTCAGCTGTTCCCTTTTTCGGACGATGGTCGGGGCCATATAAGAAGCAGTGCCGGATTATGATAGTAGGACAAGTAGCTACATATACCTCGGGTCCCGCACTTGCAAGGGCCCCGCGCTAAATGCTTTCAACCTATCAATTCCGGTTCAGTGATTCTGTATTTGCTCTATTACTATAGTACTATACTGCCTTCAACGTTTATGGACGACTGGGTGTTGAAGGTTAGCGATGTGTCGTATTATCTGGCTGTATAGCAAATGAAAAAAATCCAATCACTTTAATATTGAAGTTCAAAATTAGTGTTTTAATATTGAAGTGTTTTTTTATTTAGGGCCCCTTTGTAACATATGCTACAGGCCTCGCACTAGCTTAATCCGGCACTGGTGAGAAGTACAGGAATGGGCCACAGATGTTTGTGATCGTACAATCCCATTCATTCAACCACACCGTTCAAAACTACCGTTCGATTAATAGCTTTTACGAACACTGTTTTCCAAAACACATTGGCCTATGTAAATATTAGTACCATTTTAATGTTCAAATCCTTCAAAGTCTACGTTAAATTGCCATCGGGCTTGTTCGCACACTTCACATGTGTGAACACATGAACAACTCGATGTGTTGTGTACGCAAACTGCGTGGATGTTTGTTTGTGTGTGCCGCTGCCTGTGTAAAGGCGAGTGATCTGGCTTTAGGAGTTGGTGTGTCAACGAGGCACGTCGAGTGTGCCGCTGGTACACTTCGCTTGGCACGAGACTTACTTCCATTCCTCTCGTTGGCACAACCAGCGGAGAGGTGTTCGTGAAACTCATTCCCTAAAACAGACAAGCAAAACATGTCGCGTTTAAATATCTTCATGAATTTAAGTAATGTCAACGGTACTGGACATCTGCGAAGAAGAGCTTTATAGCTCATCGGATTCCTCCAGTGTACATATTCTGATTCTGTATATCTGCACAAAATAATGACCGTGCCACTTACTATATGCGCGTGAACATAATTTGGAATGAACAAATTATGTCCTTTTAAAGCTGACCACGTAATGCACAGTTATGAGAATTAACCGAGAAACCTACTTTTAATGACAACTCATTACACGGTAAGCTCTGATCCCGATCTCGCAATGGGGCATCAGTTATCGCTTATTTGATGGCTATGAGCTATTTTGTGGAAATTCCACCTTCTTGTGGTGGGGACCAGTCTGTAGTATAATTACTTTTTTAAATAATAAAAATATAAAACAATTGTGATAATTTTATTGTTTTATATTTTTATTATTTTATTGTTTCCCTTCAACGTGACTTTACCGAAAGAACCAAGAATATGAATCCCTGCAGTCACGAAAGCTTTAAATCAAAAAATTCCTGCAGAGTGTTACTCATCATCGGCTCGGTTAGGTGACAGGATGAGTGCCACTGACGATGTGCAATGTCCCAGTTCCAACAGATTCGGTCACACAAGTGACATAGGAGCTCACGAGATGTGAACGGTGAGGTAGCTGTGGTGAGTTGATGGAGGATGTTTAAGATGGTGAGGGCAATGCTTGGAGTTGATTATACCCTGGGCGCCAGTGGAGGGATTTGGGTACTGATGTGATTGGCACTGCTGTGTGTGCGTGGATGTGGGGAGGCTGGATGCGGCATTATGCCCATCACAGAATGACTAGTATTCATATTGACTTCCTGCACGTTATAAACCTTAGATGATTTGTTTTGTAATGTTACTGTTTAAACAAACTTATATTTATAACACGACGTGTTAATAATGAACAATAAGTCCCCCACTTTTCTGTTCCCACCGCCCCGGCCCCTCCCCCTTCATTCCCACCCCCTCCTCCCGTGTTACGTTCGTTATCTTCCCCCTTACCCCCCATATACTGTAGATAAACTTTCACTTATCTGTTAGAGCCCCCCCCCCCCCCACCTGGGTAGGGCACTGAGTCCAACCCCCCCCCCCCCCACTTCACTAAGCCCCGCCGCGCCGATCTCGGCCTTTTGTTCGTGGAATTTCTTCTTCTGTGATCGGTGCTCTGTTGAGCTGAAATGAAATCTATTTCAATAGAAATGAAGAATAACAGGGGGTGTTTTATTGTTGTTGTTGTTGGCTGCCACTGACAGGAGAGGAAGATGCCCCCGGGTGGGCTTTCAGGTTGGAGCGGCACGACGTCCGGGGCTCTCGGCACGTGGGGCGAAACGTCGGACGACGTAACGAGCGACACTCGGGATAAGCCGGGGCGGGGTGGAACAAAACAATGTGGGAGCCAGGAGAACGAACATTGTAATGTTTCGGACGGCCGGCCCTCTTGAGGGGAAATCTTTGTTTCAATGTTTACCAGAAGTTCACGATCAAAGTCTCTACTATCCACGCACACGCACAGTGAACGTTTTGAGATGTTCATTAATCGTATTTTAAAAGCTGAAGGCCGTGCAGATAACAGCAAGATGTACCATCATGCCTTGCTCCAGCGCTTGCATGGAGTAGAAGCCAGCGATTCCATAATGATTTGAACCTGGGAAAATAGAAGCACAATAACTGTATTCACATTCTGCATTTGAACATATACAAAGTTTTAAATTGCATGATGTCGGTTGGATGATCAAACATCTGAAAAATAATTATAAACACTCTTCAGCGAGGGTATTAATGGTAACATTTTCACGTGCAGGAAAATGAATAAATGTTTAATGGGGGTGGGGGGGGGGGGGAGGAAACACTTCACTTTGTAAACATTGTAAACCATTTCTCTTTCAGGATAATACAAGCGGCCTGAATTGTAAACTGCAGCCGGCTTTCACGTAACGCACCCACCCCCCCATAGCGCGACTTCGCATTGACGCAATTCATCTTTAAGAGGCGTACTTCACACTTACGCTGTGCGTTACATGGTCACGTGCTCGAGAAACAATTAGAAACCCCTAAAAGTTGTCAAATAAAACATTTTCTAAATCAAAACAATTATTTTCAACGATAACATTTCAAAGTAAATAAAACATATTTCTGATGGGAGTCACCGCGTTATGGATGGCAGTGTCACCGGCTGGCTGTTGCCATCAGCAGTCAACACGTCAGCCTCGTCTCCGCCTACTCCCTCCATCACCAATCAGTGCTACGTTTGTCGTCCTTACCTCGCACCTCCGATGAGCACGGTTGGCGACGTACGGTGCGAAAGAAGTTCAACGTATGTACATGCGTTTATCGCAGATCTGTGCCGCCTTTGTTTGCATTGCGCGTGCAGCTGCAAGCAGCCCACGGAAGCATTTGAGAAGCCCTGAAGATACTCCTTATTACGTGTTGCTTCATAGGTAGTAATCTATTTAATCTTGAATCATGATTATTGAATAATTTAACTTATAAAGTATTTTTGGGGAATTTTCATAATACTATGAAGTATTAAATGTATACGTACTTTGTAAATCCAGGGCTAAAATAATGAAGTGAAATGAGACTTCATTTTTCATTGGAATCCACCTCCCCCCCCCCTCCCCCCCCCCCCCCGTATAACGTGTACAATGTCAGGAACGCACGTCACGCATTATTCGAGGGACACCTGCATATGGAAATCGATACAGTATTTATATTTGTGTCAATACTCAATAGATGTATTCCATCCGCAGTCAACCGCGCCGATGCTGCCTTACCCCGAGCCACCACCCATCCAACGCCACTCTCCGTGGCCTTCTTCATGGCCAGGTCCATGCAGAAGTTGCCCACAACCGGCCCAAGCAAATTGTTTCCATTCACGAGGGCGGTGGCTGCGGTTTCCTTCTCAATCGTTGGTTCCCCATCCTTCTCGCAGATGCCCGACTTGATGTCCTTCACGTACATGTCTACACAGAGAGAAGTGCAATGGCAAATCAGCCTGGAGGTGACTATGTGGCCACGTCAGTGACCAGTGTGAATGTAGTCAAATCTTGATTGAGCCCTTCTACTTCAAGTCACGCACAACTTTTAATGCATGGGAATCTTTTTTTTACTGCTTTTTTGGTGGCAGTTTGCGAAGAAGTTCCCAGCACGTGGCCCGAAACGTCGGACATCGTGCTGAACAGCACGCGGTACCACCTGACAACACATCGGAGAACTGCGAAAACGTGTTCAGTCATTCTGAGACACCGGTAGTACAATGAGACGGTTGAGACTATAAACAATTTTTTTTTATTTGACCAGGTAAGGCCCACTGAGCTATATAGATATTTTTCAGAAGTGACCTGGCTATCACAAATGATAGCCCAATGAAGTGGCTTATCATGTGGAGATGTAAAGCAGCTTAGCACTCCAAATGTATGTTGTACGTTGATTCTAAACGTACAGAGAAAAACCGGAGGACTTGGAAAAAAATCCACACGACCACGGGGAGAAAGACATGCAAACTCCAAATATAATGGTGACGGGGTCGGGATCGAACCCATGCCCTCCTGCCTACTAGGCGAGGTAGTTAACATATCGCCACCGTGACACTGCGTTGCTAAGGGACTTCACGCTACGGATGATCTGTAGTCTGTGGCCCCCGGCGTGCACGCGTGGGAGACTCTACCCATGCGGTTGAGGCCGTGGCTGTAGTGGCCGCGGTAGTCGCCCTCCACCAGCACGTCGGCCAGGGCCTTGGCATGCGCCGGCTTTGTCTTGACGGCCACCATGCATTGCTGAATGAACGACTTCACGTCCGCTTTGGGAATCAGACACCTGCACCGCGCACAGATCACGCAGAGCCCAGTCGCACACACAACAACAACAACAACCACTGTTCGCAAACTAAGTGTGGCGATGACACATGCACCACGTCGCTTGTGCCAGGCCAGGTGCATTTTAAGGCCAAACGAATTGTGAAACGCCCGCTGGCAGGAGGTCACGGGGCAGAGCCAGGTGCCATGGGTTGACTGACTGAGATGACTGGCAGTCGCATGCACACGCACAGGCACGGTTTCAAGCGACGTGGAGCAACAACCGAGGAAATTTAATGCAAACGCTCAACTCTTCAAACTGACGTTTCGGAATTGGTTCCTTATCGAATTGTCATCGACTCCTTGGTCATTGCACGATTCCATCAGCATCCAATCAGGACCAGCACACTCTGGACCCGTTTCGACATGCAGTGTCTCATGAGCAGATTCAAGCAGTATCCTATCAGCAAAGTCAATCAAAACTGACTGTGCTGACACTGCTAGGCGAAAAGAGTCCAGAATCGGCCCAGAGTTTACTTGTGCGGAATCCACCCCGATTCACCCCGAGAAGGGCCAACTGATTGCGGAATAAATACTTCAATTTTTTTTATTATTATATACGAAAGAGACATATTGTCTGTTCATATATTTTGCTACATATATTCAGCACAACGATGCTCATAGTTATTTTGTATTACCTTTGTTATTGTTGAGTGTTCGGTTAAATAGATATTATTTTTACAGGTACATAAAACTTGTCTCTCATATTCCTGCAACGTCCACCGTTTGTATTTATCTCTGGCACGGCGTGTTGCACTGCGATCCGCAAAGTTCTGAATGGAACTTATTTTTACAACTGCAAATATAATTCAGAGAATTAAAAAACATGTTTACCATGCGTCCTGGTTGAGCCCCGCAGAATATGCGGTCGCCTTATCACAGGGTCAATTACACATTCATAATGCTGTGAACATATTAAAAGGCCTGGAAAGGTTCACGATGCATGACACACCATTCACATTGATACAATGTGTAGAAAATAATGCCCAAAATAACGATATCTGTGGTGATGTTGCATTGACAGTTTTGAGTTAATTTGATTTGTCTCACGGATGGTCTAGTTATGTCAGTTTCCTGGCTATTTTACAAGAGACATCTGTGGTGTGTGAGTCCCAAATGAAAAGAAATCCAACACCCAAAATAACAAAATAAATAGTCAATGTCTCCGTTAAATATCCATCTCTGGGGAAGGAAGGGGGAGGGAGGGGATAGAAAATGGAATTGAAGGAGCACTGAGGGAGGAGAAACTTCCGCGTGCTTGTTGAACTTAACCGGTCAAAGTCACGCAGAAACGAGCAATGGAAATGAATGGAGATAGATTAAAGCAACTTTCAATCATCGAGTATTTGCAAGGTGAAAGCATATACACGTTTTCATTTTTTGTGTCCATCAAATATAGAATTACGTTTCAACTTGTAACACGCCACACGGTATTCACCCGCCCCCGAGGAGCGATAACAACTCGCAAACAAGCGGGAAGGTAGCCTGGGAGGAGCGCCAAATTCCTTCTCCAAGCTCTGCAGTCCTCAATTTATTACGGTGTTATTGGCCAGTTACATGGATGTTGACATGTGAGAGAAAACCGGAGCACCCAGAGAAAACCCATGCGTGTGGGGGAGAAAGATTATATCCCAATAGAGACGGAACAAGACGAGTCTACATTCGTGTACTGCCTTCTCCTGGCAAACCAGGGCATGCCACCTGCTTGATGCCCACGGGAAGGGAGTTGCGCAGCATTTGTGTGATCCACCAACCCTTGCTGCCTCCACAGTGCTGGATTACAGGTCACGAGCATAGCCACCACTAAACAATATAGTATTATAGTACGTCATTGATGTCATTGATTTTAACGATCATTTACTTTCCTATCCCGAGGCAGGCCTTTGTTGCCTGCCACAAATGAACGTAAGGAGAAGTCCTTTGGGCAATTTTAACAGTTAAGTTAAACGTGGCCAATAAAGGATACTTTGACAATTATACAGTGTGTGCGCGCCAATGCGATGTGGGATATGTTGAGAAAATTTTAAACACAGCATTGGCACCAACAACTGGATTTGCCAGTAACTTGCTTTGCTTCAAATTATTTAATGAGAGTGCCCGGGGCACAGCTACCGTCACATAACCAAGTTGTTTTCTCGTTTTCTACGTACGGCTTATATTTCAGTAACGCTTGCCAGCAACAGTACAGGACCACAGTTTGCTGTGTAGGTTAGACTGTAGTAGCATTGCGCATGGGGTGGAGAGAGGCCCCAGTGGTTGGCACGGCGCACTAAAGCAATCTACCACCTGAGTTCGATTCCGGGCCATGGCTATCAATGGATTCATAATAAAAGTTTTACAGGTTAGATTGCAGAAATATGAATGTGTCGTTAACCCAACACCACCCGACACAGCCAATTAGTGATGTCATCACCTGTATACTCCCTTTAAGACTGAAACAGGAAAACTTCTTCACAATTCTGCCAAATCGCCTGATGAAGCTGGTTGTAATCACAAACGAAACGTCGTACTCAAATTGTTAATGTTGTGGGTTTAATCTCTAATACACCGATGTGCTGAAGTTCAGTAGTAACTAATTGGCACGTTTCGTTGGCGTGACAAACCTTACTAATGGCTGAGTCAGTGCGGTGGTGGCAGTGGGTTAACGGCACATTTGTACTTACGCGATCTGAACCCATAAAACCTTTATTGTGAATAACATTGGTGGCGAAAGTCGACGCGTTAAACGATCAATCAGTGTTGAGTGATATCTCAACTGTCGATGGGGCCTCACCTTCACCACAACCCGTATTGACCAACGTGGTAAAAAAATGGGCAAAGCACAGCACCCGTCAATGACATAATTGCGTGGGAGGACTTCATCCACAGCAGTGGACTGAAAAAAAGGGACTGTAAAACATTTCGATGTAATAACATCCCATAAGAAACAAATCAAAATGAGTTGTTTAAGGCAAAATGTACTCACACTCATTCCATTCATAGCGTGCCAAATACATGCTGTGAAGGTTTTATAAATTTTATTTTATCGTCAGCCGTGGTGGCACCAGGGCTGCACATTTTACGAGCAGCTCTCAGCCGCCAGATCAAAAGTTTGACTTCACAAAATTGTAGAATCGTTACATGAAACGCCCACATTTTTAAATGCATGCGCTATAGTTAAGGGCCCCAGGCTACAAAAGGAACAGTGGGTACTGCCAGCCAGTCTGCCAGAATGCCTCAATGGAAATCTTGGTTTGTGGCTTATTTGGTTAACAATTATTTTAAGTACAGGCACATCTGAAGCATTTCCACTCAAACCAATCCAATGGCACTGTGACATTGAAACAGCCCAAGTGTGGTGCTCAGCTCTCACTGATAGTCATGAGGCAACGGTGGAAATTCCACATTCAAATGGACGGAACCAGTGCCTACGTATAGCAGGCGTTTTTTACTTTCCACAAAGCGGTACTCATGTTATCAGTCTCAGAGGAATGCTGATGAAGATGTTCTGAGTTGTTATTTTATGAAGCTTGTTTACCCAGGAGAGCATCAGTGAATCTTTATACTCTTTTACATGAGGGTGATGCCGAATGTTCGCTGATGCTGCTGTGTGTAATATCCCAAATGAGTAATTTACAGGTAATTTTGAAGGTCATTTTTCAAATGTGTACATGATGCAAGCACAAATTGGCCCACCCTTGCGAATGGTGTCACGGGATATTTAACGTCCACTCTGAAGCAATATGGCGTGTATGTTTACAGTTTATACACCCGCAGTAATAACCAGGGTGGCCGCTAGACTCCAACTGTGAACCTCTGCAACAAGCAGTGAACGTGCTAGGCCATGCGCCTCAGCCAGGATATTAACTAGTTGTGTTTTGATTGAGAGTTGGGTCTCTATGACGCAACAGCACCCAAACATATACGTGGACTGTCATGCGCACATCTTATTGTGCATGGGTAGAACATAGCACATTGTTAATTTATTTCCTCAAAGCCAAATTACATTCCCAAAATTGTCGTGCAGAGGCATCATTGCATCATATGACATTTGCCAAGACATTTTTTTTTTACTGTACAACTTACGCAATCAATGTACGCTCCGTGTTGTGGTATTTTAAGTGTTGTTTTTGTGGCACTTTACAATAATGATGGGACAACGTGCCGTACGACGATGAGCGCAATGGCCACCAATCTACAAGGGTTCCATTCATAGGGAGATTGGTATTCATTCCTGCGAGTTCCAGCATCATCCCCGCATCGCTGAGCAGTCGTCCCATTAATGCCAGGACCGAAAACGATCGCGGGGCCTCTGTAACGAGAGCGGCCTCGCTCATGACGCGCCAAACAATGGTGGGCTTCGTTTAAGTTTTGCGCAATGCTGCCCGAGCTCAAAGAGAGACGTGGAAAGCGACGAAAGGAGCCGGGGGAGGGGGGGGGGGGAATTGTTTTTTTTTTTTAATGAACGTTTTGAGCACCGTGCCTTCTTCAGAGCGGAGAGAGCTGCCACAATGATATTGTAGTCCGAGGTCATACTTAAAACTGCTTGTTATAATATACATTGCCTAGAAACCCTAAATGCTAAAATATATCAATTGGTTTAATCATAATCAGAATATTGATTTAGAACAGGAGGAATCCGATGAGCTATAAAGCTCTTTTTCACGGATGTCCAGTAGGGGCGGGTAAGAACGTCACAACAACAAACACAACACAACAACAACACGTGATAGCAGTGCAAAGTACAATAAAGGTGAACAAATTACCCAAACACAAACAAATACAACAACTAAACCATCCCCACCCTACCAGACAAAGCCCACCGAGGCATTTAACTTATTTTTCAGAAGCGACCTGGCCACAAATGATAGCTCAACAAAGTGGCTTGTCATGTGGACATTTACCGCGGCAAAATAATATAAATAATCGCAATGCATGTTTCTAAATGTAGAGGGAAAACCAGAGGACCCGGAGAAGACATCC